TATCATTTTATAACGGATAGCAAATAAACGAGGGTAATAAAAAGAAGAAAATTTCTATTGTCACTTTGTAATCGTTTATGGGAAACTTAACGAAGGTAATTTCGTTGAAAACGAGTACAAATTGAATTTCACTTTAAATCGGTGAAAACAGAGGAGAGGAAAAGTGAACTGTCCTGGCTCAGTTGATGAAATTAGTTGTTTCGTTTGATTGGAATGCTCTTCGCTTGTCCAATTTTCTTCGAAAAGGTTGTGATTCGTGCAATGAAACGGGGAAACCCGTTGACTGAAGTACTACCTACTAGCTCGGGGTTAGCCACGAAATTACGGAAACTTTAAAAGTTCGTGCGGTTGAAACGAGCTTGAGATGGAAGGAGTCATCGTCTTTACGGTTTCCTTATTCAAAGAGGATGCTCGGAGATCTCGTCCTTCGACAAATTGGCGTTTCTGCCGCCTTTAAATACGCACGATATTAAAGTCGCTAGGATTCGAATTCGATTTTGGATAAATCGGTGGGAAAATTACGGTAAATCTCTCTCAACGAAGCTTCACAAACGCGGTGCAAGATTTTCTTTAATCAAATTAATTGCTTCGAAGATAAGGATCTTACGAAATGAAATAAATATTACTGAGATTTTTAACCAAATTCCTTGATTGCTTTGAAGATAATCTTATAAAACAGAGTTAATGTTTCTCTTAATATTTAGTCTTTCTCTTTCAAATTTTCAAATTTAGTTTAGACTTTTCTTAATATTTAGTCTCTTTTTAAATTTTCAAATTTAATTTAGACTTTTCTTAATATTTAGTCTTTTTGCTCAAATTTTCAAATTTAATTTAGACTTTTCTTAATATTTAGTCTTTTTCTTTCAAATTTTCAAATTTAGTTTGGACTTTTCTTAATATTTAGTCTATTTTTCAAATTTTCAAATTTAATTTAGACCTTTCTTAATATTTAGTCTTTTTCTTCAAATTTTCTAATTTAATTTAGACTTTCAATATTTAGACTACTTTTCAAATTTAGTTTAGACTTTTCTTAATATTTAAACACAATTTCAGACATTTAATGTCTGAAAAGTGGTGTAGGTAAACTTTTAAAAATCGTCGTGTTCGTTGTGTACCTTAAATAATACCATTTTCTCTTTCTGCTACATCTGGGATAATTAATTTGCGAAAATATGCATTATATGTTTCACATGCTTACGCAGTGTTGCCTTAAGAATGCAATTTAATTTAGAATGGCCAAGGACAACGTTGTTAAATCGTGTTCCAAGGAAAGGGATGGAACACGGATGGATTTAATGAAACAAGCTCTTGATTATCGGCGACAACATGATAAGCTACTGTCACTAATGATCTCCCTTTAATTCTACCATAAATCTAATCTTGTTCCCCCTTCGAAACCAATTAAATTACGCGCAAAAATAGCTAATGAAGGTAATTAGATGCCTGTAATAATTTAATTATTACAATAATAAATCCCATAAAATTCTACGATAATTTAATTTCGAAATTATTGTTATATCCGTAACAGCTTAATTCCCATTTTTCAAATTTATCTTCTTTTCGTTCAATATTTTTTCCAGTTAATTCTATTATATCTTTTTTCAACGAAGATTTGGAAGTGAAGTAATTTGAAGTAATAATACTGTAATAAAAATAATAAGCAAATCGTTTAGTAAATTTTGTATCAAGTTCACATTAGTTTGGTGTCAATCTCGCCGAATTTTTCCACGATAAATTCACGTGTTCCACTATGGGGGTGGCGCTTAATGAAGTTCCTGTAATACCGAGCAAATCGACCATACTAAATTGCTGTTTAGCGTACGAGACGCAGTTAACTTTCTCCTCATTTGTTCGAAATTTACAAAATATTTGTATCTAAAGTTGTATCAAAGTAAAATTGTGCTACGTTTATTGCGCTGGTTCTCTCTGAATTAGGATTGAATTCCATATGTTTCTGTAATATAAAGGAAAGGAAATTGTATATAAAGGAAAATAACGCTGCTAATAAAATTAATTTGACGTCACGAAATAGAACGACATATGTTTTTAAAAAGAAATTTATTCCTTTGTTTATTTACGTTGAATTGATGTTAGTAGAAATTGGTATAAAATTTGTATAATAAACAAAGAATTGCAAGTAAAAAGAGTGTTTTGTTTCCGATAGCAAAGACTATGTTATAATTTGATCTTTACTCTGAAGATCAATAAGTGTACAGGCTAAATGGAGTATAAATGATTAATTAACTCCAAATTTATCGAGACCGCTTCAGCTCAACTGAAAGCAACTTATGCGTAAAACAATTTCAATTAGTTTTGAAGCTTCGTACTTCCTGGAATATTTGCAAATGTACGGTTTGTTCTACGTGTGAAATATACACGATCAATTTTTCAATGGTTTCAATTTCAGTCCTGCTTTCATCGCGTTATTGCAGAAATTGCAGATTTCATTTAACTTGGGTCTTGGAAGTCTAGTGTTTACCGATACAACAACATGTAAAACTAGGAATTTCTATTATTCGATTGAAAATGTCCCTTTTTCAAATTTTACAAATAAAAGTAAAATGAATTTTCCTTTTCTTAATTATTTCCTAAATACATAGAAATAAGTTTCTCGCTATCTATAATACTGTAACCTACTTTGCTCGCCATAACAGAAAGAGTACCTAACGCAATATACTATACGTAGAAAGAGAAAAACAAGATTCTAAATTATTTTCAAAAATTGCACTTATTGGACGATTACTTGTGCACGCACAAAATACGAGCACGAACGTGAAAGGATTAAGCCTTCTTTTGTCATCCTATTTCTCCCAGCCTTTAATGACATCGTTAAAAACGTGGAGAAACCGATGAAAATACGGTCTGTTTGGTGATGACTTTATACTGACCTGTAGCGTAACGAGACGAATTCAATGACCCCGTGCACAGCACGATTTGATTAAAAAATACACCGGTAGAACGTATATGTGAATGAATATTCGATTTGGTGAAGTAACGCCAGGCTCTCCTCGTACTGCGTGCTGAGTCCTCGAGTAGCGACCGTCAAATGTCGGAAAACAACAAGTCACTGAACTATAGTGTCTCGGGCAAGTGCTCGAATAATTTGCACTAAACATCAACACATGTTTGAATACGCCTCTTGATGTCACGTCTCACGTAAACATTTTTCAAGTGACATTTTTTAACGTCGCGCGATCTGTGCGAGATGTCTAACGTTAATTCGCCAAATGGGAATGTTCATTTGTATTCTTTCGTGTTACTTCAGCCGCTCGGGAATAAAAATGACTAATTTCGTAAAATAGGATTTATTAAATTTATTTTATTTGTGGAAAATTGAGCATTAAGCTTGTGCTTTGATATTAAAATTGGAGGAATATGAAAAAGTGGATTTAATGATTGTTGGTCTCTGAAAGGCTCATTTTTCAGTAAAATCGTGCAAAATAAAATTTATCAAATTTTGTTTCATTTATGGAAAACTGGGCACTGATATTAAAATTGGAGGAATATGAAAAAGTGGATTTAATGATTTTTGGTTTCTGAGTGGCTCAATTTTCAGTAAAATTTGAATTTTTCAATTCGTCACGTTAAGCTCTGTCATTCTTTTTTTTAAATTGTATTATGTGTGGGTTTTGGTGATTAATTAGAGCTTCGATTGGCTAAAGGCTATCGGTTTCATTTTCCGCAAACAATGATATGATTTCAGGTATCCAACGATATTTTCACTATCGCGAACAAACCAAATTCATTTTCGACGATATGACGAACATTTAATTACAAAGCAGCTGTCCGTTATTTCCTACCTTACACACCGATTAATTTCGTTGTCCCAACCATGAATTCGAGACGGGGAATTCCGTCTGTTTTCCCCAAAAATTAAACGTCAGACTGTGACATTTAGCGCGGTGCCGTGTTCTGACTGTGTAATTCCTTTCTTCGTTAATTAATTACCTGCAAATACACGAGTTTCGCAGGTACAGCGACAATGAAAATTTTACGATGCTTGAAGAAAACGTAAATTTCCTGATTTTCTGTTCTCTCCTCTGATGTTCTTTTATGGAATTTTGGCTGCTCGATTTTGTGTTATTTTTTGTGGGAGATTTTATTAATTTTTTTATAACCCCATTTATAAATAGAATTAAGTAACTATATTTTTCGAGCAAAGTGCAGATGCGTTAAATTGACGTGTAAGTTAAGAATTCCAAGATGAGATTCTCTCGCGAGATTCTTATGCACAGCGAGTGTGACGTTTATTCAACCAACAAATTATGTGGATCCTTCGGAATAGGATAGTCACGCGGCATGAAGCGCAAAATAAACTTCCAGTGATGCCTTACACACCTCGTTATATTTTTTTATCGCAGATAGTATCATTTTCGGGAAACTCGATTTTGGAGAACTGTTCAGAAAATGTAATCGAGGAACAATTTTTACTTTCTTAATATCAATTTTAAGCGGATTAAACGTAAAATATTAACCATATTTTTTATATTTGTTAGAGAATTATTGAAATATATTTTTCTAAACCTTGCAGTAACAATAAGATACTTTTCTTAGAATTACTTAAAATATTTTAGTAAGTGGACTTTTCAATTGGAAGTGGAACTTTGAACTATATTATGCGACATAAGAGAAATTTCTCCCTGTAAATCTCTCTCAAATTTTCAATCTAAACTCAATATTTCTATTACCTGTGAGATGGTCTAATATGGCTATCAAGACTAGGGTCACATTTACCATAAGCCGCATTAGGCGCAAGCTGCAGCCTCACTCTAAGGGGCCACATTTTAAAACCTTACTCCTCCCAGACAACAATTTAAAAAACAGCCTACTTATAGTCGCAAAATAAAATACTCATTTTTAGATATTAAATCCATAATATTTAAATGTACGATGGTCCACTGTTCATTTAAGAGATCGACATCGAAGATGTTGCAGCTCCGAGTCTCCAAAAATATAAACACACCCCTAAAAGAAACTCAAGGATGTCGCGATTATTGCAGGTGACATGTCAAGATGAAGACAACACCCAGTGCATGTCTAAAACAGCCTTCCTGGTCCTGCTGCGTTATCCAGAAGTTAGCTCGAATTTGGCTGCCTACTCAAGAACAGGAAGGGTGACTCAGGACGCGAAAAATCGCAACGATATGGCACATCTGAGAGATTTAACCGAGGAAGCTGACGACACGGAGATCTGCGTGCCTTCTCGCGTCTATCTGCAGCTATTGAAGGATCCAGTTATGCGCGGTGATCTTAGCGTCATTCTGAACGCGAGAACGCAGAAGTTGCCTGATTTCACGGGACGTTCTTTCCACGACAGCAGCGAGGCGGATTCGCAGGCTGAATATCAGAAAAGAAGCATCGCGATGCTGGCTAAGAACGACGATTTGCCAATCAGCATCCACGATCGCATGGAAAACGACGACGATGAAAAGAAGAGGGCTGTTCTTTCGGGGTATGTGCTTCTACTGTGCTTTGATATTTTCATGTATTGTTGTTAATTTTTGTTCAGATTTAACCCTTTCGCGACTAGCGCCGGTTATATCCGGCATCCACTAAAGGCTTCGCACTGGCTAGCGCCGGTTATATCCGGCATCCACTACGCGCGTCGCATTGGCTCGCGCCTCGACAACTCAAAGTGAAGATTTATTTTAAAATACAGAACAAGGCCTCGACAACATTCCCTTTATCCAATACACCCTTAAGTCCTCTGCTGTTCCAACAAAGTCCTCTAAGATTTCACACGGACACACTAGGAGCTCGAAAAACGCGAGACACTCGTGGTGTGCACTAATGGCACGACGACCCGTCCGTTAGTGGCGTGCTGATGGCTAGTTCTGCCGTCGCGAAACGGTTAATTGGCTAAGAACTTCAGAAATGTCCATCTCTTTTGTATTACAATTCGAGCGAATTTCAACTGTTTACCGAGTGAATTTTAAAAGCTCGTGTTTGCCATAAGCGACGAAGAGATTTGAAAAAGTGGGGTGCTAAAATAACTAAGCAATACAAGATTCACTGCTTAGTTACCTGGAACAACTACCTAATTGTTGTTGTTCGCACTTCTAAATTTAAATTTATTCTGCATCTTCGTCTGAGTTTTGCACAACAAACTTACCGTGTATCGTTCTATTTACCCAAATTCCATTTATCTTTCTCTAACTTCAATTGCTCTAACATCACACTTATCACACGTTATATCCTCCAAAACTGAAGAATATCAACAGAATATCTTTCGTCGAGTCTAAAAATACTCTCGTTGCTCGAGAAAGTGTTAACGAAACCCTTAAATCTGAGATCTTAGATCTAACGCTGCCGAAAATTTTTCCAAACAGCGATCAATCCGGGCAAAATGGCGCAGAAGTCGCTCAAGAGTACCTTCTACCCAGTCGTTCAGACCTGGAAGCCTTAACCCGAGACTTCTCGGCGGACAAGCGAAACGTCGGCACCCTGGCTCGAGATTTCGCACTACCTCCTGGCAGACGCAACATCGCGGCCTTGGTTCGTGACTACGATCAAACCAAAGGAAACAGAGAACGTATGCTGCCGTTCGCCGGCAAAAGAAACGTCGCTTCCTTAGCTAGAACCTACACTCTGCCTCAAAACGGAAAGAGAAACGTGGCGTCCGTTGCCAGAGATTACGGCCTGCCTTATGGAAAACGATACGTCGGTTCTTTGATGAAAATGGGCGATCTACCTGTTCGTACTCACAGAAGCGTCGCTGCTTTGGCAAGAAATTCCGCCTGGCCGGTGTCGTTGAAGAGAGGAATTTCCGTGCCTGGGAGCGTGATCCTGAGAACTCTTTCTCGCCACGGTAGATCGTTCACGGACCAATTGAACAGCGGAAACGATCCGCTTGAACTCGAGGGGCTGAGCAGTATGGAACAGGATCAGGAGAAAGATTACGAGGAGGAGAAGCTGAGCGATTCTTTGGCGGAAGTTGATAACATTAGGAGACTGAAGAGACAGATTGGATACTCCGATGAATATCCTTTGCCCGTCATGCAGAATACCAATGTATTCGATTACGAGGAGATGATGGAGGCGCTCAGTGGACAATACCCGAACGCGCAGAAGAGATTCTTGGGTGAGTAGAGCGATTTTGGTTTTTTCTTTTTTCAAGTGACAGGAAGATTGAGATTATAATCGTTAATGACTTATCTGTGACGTTGTTTAAATGACAGGTTTTTGAACGAATGTTCGATGCAAGGAGAAAAGTTTATACTTCTCAGGAAGAAGTGATGGAAAATCACGAGAAATTCGTACTTATAAATTTCAGTTATTTAAGTTTCTTAGTTTTTCCTTGATCGATAATTTGTCCTGTAAAAATCATTCGAGTGATACGTCACCGTAATCTCGACAAAATTACTATACAAATGTGCAATTAAAATAATCCTTTCGTTAAATCTTACAATTTCTTTCAGAAAATTAAATTTTGCCCCAATTTTCATTCAAATGTGTTCTTTTTAATTTGACCATTTATTCTCTGTTATTCATAATTGTTCGAGTAATTCCGTAAAATGACTGATACAGAACTTAAAAGACACTATTTTTGCAAAAATTCATTTCAGCACAGGAATCTGATATAATTGGACACTTTTAATAATATTTCCTGTGATCATGCACGATCACCAGTTTCATTTCCAAAAAAAAGTAAAGGTGGTAAGTAATTTCCAAAAACGACTACTTCAACTCGAAATTCAAACGAAAATCTCTAACTAATTCGATGACAACTTTGTCTCCCAATGATCTTTACGACAAACTTCCATTCCTTAATAGCGAAACAGTCCTTCCGAAGCAGATCGTAAATAGTAATTTTCAAAGATCCCTACTTAACTGAAAATTCAAATACTAATCAAGTGTCAGACCCTAAATTCCCCTTTCGATGAAAACTTTGTCTCTCAACAAGCTTTACGACAAAGTTTCACCTTAATACCTCGAAGAGCGAAACAGTTCCTCCTTCGGAGGATCGCAAAATAGCAATTCCCTTTCGCGAAACACGTTGTCATTCCCCGTACGAATCGGATTAATGAACATTTCAGTGTTTTCGAAGAAGAGTAATAATACACACGGCCTCCGAAGCACTCATCGTGCTACCGCGTCCGACAAAAGTAGACCTCGACTCGTTCGAGCGTGTGTATTTCATGTCGCCGGGAATGGACATGTCGAACATGTAGTTGAACGTGAAAGTCAGAGATCGAGCGTAAATCGAGCACTATCTGTGAATGTCAGAAACAGGTTCTGCACCGGAGATACAGCCGGATGTAGATCAGTTCGGCTACCCGGAAACGTTTCAAGCGAATAAAAGACACATCGAGGCCTTGGCACGTCTTGGTTGGCTACCATCTTTGAGGGCCGCGCAATTCTCGCGATCACCTCGGTATTTGGTTGGCAGGTCAGACCATTAGGTTCTCACCTGCTCCTCCTTTTTTTTTATCTCTTTCTTTCTTTCTCTCTCTCTGTGTCTCTTCCTTTTGTCCTTTTCTTCCTTCTTATTGTGCGTCTTCAGCCTTCTTACTGAATACTACTAACTGCTGTTTGGTCCTTTTGGAAAATTCTGCAGGATTATGTTGTTTGAATTGAAGTTAATCGTAACTGTGTCGAAAATTAACGTATTTATTCGAAATAAGAATAATTGTGCTAGGGATACACTTTTGGTAATGTTTCGCTCATTTATTTGGTGCAAGATAAAGAAAGTAGATAAGTCTCCAATAATTGGTAAACTCGGAAGCCAAAGTGATTAACTTCGTTTTTTGGTATTCTTTTAAGTTTAGTATCGAAGCACATACTTGGTGCTTAATTTTTCATGAATAAATGAACATTTGGTAAATTCAGTTTGATGGAGTTAGTCACTTTGGTTTCCGAGTGGTTACCTACTCTTCCCATATCTTGTGGAATATTGAGGACCCTTTTCTTGACAGAATTTTTACCTGTGATGGAAAGTGGATTATCACAGGTAAAAGATTATCATAAAGTTTAGCTTTATCATAATCAGAACAGATCTAGACAGTGGTTAGATCTTAACAAACCACCTAAACACTTTCCAAAAACTAAAGCACATCTGAAAAAGGTAATGGCCTGTTGGCGGAATTATTCACAGTAATTTAAACAAAAAGGGAAAAATGATTATGACAAATAAGTAATGCAGTGAACATAGCGAAATGCATTAAAAGCTGTGAGTTATCTGTCTTGACCATTTCATCAAGGAGGAAGCATTTCGAAATGAACGCGACGTGGAACAGGTATTCGTGAACTCGTATATTTTTTTGTGGTATATGGCATGAATAAATTAGTGAAACGGTGGCAAAGGTTCTTATTTTGAATAAATATGTCAACTTTCGGCGAAGTTATGATTATTTCAATTCAAACGACGAAATTCGACAAAACTTTCCGAAGGACCTAATATTAATACTACTACTTCTTCTTCTTCTTCCTCCATATGGATCATTTACGGTAGTTAGTAATTGTATAGGTGTCTCGATGTATAGTGTATATCTTGATGTTATAGAATTAGGATGTGATCCTTGGATCGATCTAAATCGCTGATGTGGAAGATGTTTTAGACTGGCTGAAATGGCGGAGTAGTTCTTCTATTTAGTGCGAACAATCGATAGAGATAGTTTCAGATTATAGTATTAGAACTTTTTGTTATTATACTTACACTTTGGCTAGTTTCACGGGGTTGTCTATTCAAGTGATATCATTTTTAATTGTAAATGTAACAAAGAATTTTTAATTTTTTAATTTTTGATAATATCTGATTTATTATCTATAACGATTTTTATTACTCTTTCTGTTTCTGGTTTTTGTTTCTATTCGTAAATGATCGAATATAAGTAATTTCTTTCACTCAAGACTGATTATATGCATAGACTACCCTGGTGTAGATTATGTACTATACGGATAGACAATGTTTTGTTATTTTTCATTTGTTATTTTGTCAATTTGATCGAAGATGCATATCACTTAACCCTTTAGCTATGAAAGATGTATATTTATCGATAATATGTGGGAATCAGACACGTGAAAATCTGCCATGGTAATGGTAACGAAGTCAGTAAAGGCGCGTTTCCATGTATCTCAGATTTTTTTGCAATTTTACCAAAAATAACACATTTATTACTAATTTAACATAACCTTGAGCACATTGTGGAATGTTTGCATAACTATGATAATCTACAAAAACTGAAATGATAAACTTTAATTTACCAGCAATGTTTTGTTTTGGAGCACGCTGTAGCTAAAGGGTTAAACGTTTTACCGGTAACAAAGTTATGTCTAAGAAAATTGTACAATCCCAAGATGAAAATTTTCTATTCTGTGACTTTCATCCAATTACAAGTCTATTAATAAAACGTTGTACCGTATTCGATGTTAAGTGTAGTTGAGTGTTAAATATTAGATATATGTCGTGGCACAAAAATTTCTCACTCGTCGAAACACAATGTCTACTAACGATCAACTTAAATGTCTCACACGCTTGTATCTTCAAATTTTTTCTGCTACGGTTAATTAACTATCTATTTAGATAATACAGACTATCATGCAAATAGGTTATTTTGGATGTTCCCGCCATTTTACGCCGTCCATTTTGAGAAAAACAACTCTATTGAAATTAAAGATTTTTATTTTAATCGAGTTAAGTTTTTGTTCAAAAAGAATGGCTTAAAACCGCGGGAACATTCAGTATAACCTAAAACAACGGTGGCCTTCTAGTTCTTTTTCATTATTTATATGGCAGTATGTCAATGTTTAGGCGCCGCTATAACGCAACGACAATTATATATGTAGATTATACGAATTCTATGTGTTATATAGATTAGAAATTTATAGTGTGAAACTTACAAAGGAAAGTTGATTTCTCGATCTAACAGGAATACGAATCATATATTTTAGGGAGAATCCCGCAGATGGGTCGCCCTCGTCCGACTACTCCTCCAACTCGTCGACAAGGTCGCTAAGACCTAACTTCAATCCAAAAACACGCTACGTTCAAGCTCTGCACGGAGATTGTCGACACGGCTTCGAAAGGTTTCTCCTCTTACCGACCACGGGTAATTATTTTCATCAAAAACTCCCTGCTTCGTTGCGATCTAAATCGTACTAAACTGTTCTAAATATAGAAATCTTTTACCATTTACTATACAGTGAATACCTTAATCAGTATTATTTACTTATGTATTTCGCTTACAAATAGCTTTGGTTTTGAACTGTAGTTGTAATATATGTTTGTTACGTTGAAAAATTTAATTCACCTAGGGACTTTCGGTTTTTACCGGCAACCGATATGACGCTAGTAACTTATCTTAATGTACGTTATCAGTATCGGGTAAGAAAGTTTATGACGCATTGTCTTTAAAAAGTGAAAGTGTACGGGGGCAGTATCGGTGTTTCTTTTGTCAAATTTCTCGATGTATCTAAATCAAATTCTTGAGCATTACAAAAATTACTATAATTAAACGAAGAAATTCAAGTCTATAAAATTGACGAAAATTTTTGATAGGTATTGTATGTGTAATTATATATGTAGTGTTTAAAGATTTGTTGTGCTTTAAATAATTATGAAGAAGCTTATTCTTGACGCAGAGTATCTATACTTACTAACCAGCGTTATTACTTCGTAAGGATCTGTGTTACTAAATTTTATAAAGTGAATTATTTACGCTTTCTATCAATATACAATCTGACGCATACTATTTTATATATATACATGTAACGACTTTATACTACAATTTAATTTAGTGCTTATTAACCTAATATTTTAAGTATACACTTAAGAGAAAATAATAGTCAATGCGGTACGGAGTATGTATTGAGCGACTTTCAATTTTTTATGCAGACTTGTTAGTAGAATGTGAACGTTTAAAAAATATTGATCATTATAATGACGTGTATTCACAAATGTTACATTCGTTATAATAATAGTTTATCCGGATGCTTTAAGGTTAAATTATCTCGAAAGAGTTTTAGTTTTCATGGTTATGTTAGTAATTGACAATTCTTTAACTATCAGGAAGAGGATAAAATTGTGTGTTGCTCGAATAGTATACTCGTTTGATCTTGAATTTCGATTTAGATATTTATTCTTCGTGTTATTTAAAAATATTTTTAATATCTCGTACGACTTTATAAAAAATATTTTTCTTCGAGGTTAATGTAATTCGACAATAATCGAGAATAATAATAATAATACTAATGTGTCTGTAATAATATCGAACATATTTTCGATCTAATTTGTAAAGTTATATGTACGTTCATGTGTATTGTGCAGTGTAAAACTTTTAAACAATCTTACTACGTATATTTCTGTAATACCTCTCAAATTATGTAATCCTCTTTGATTTGACGTAATACTATTTGTATAACGTATTAATTTAACGTAAGTCTGTTTTTAATTGATCTGATTTACCTTTGTGTTGCAAGTACAGATGTGTTCGTACTACAGTAAGTAAAGGTACTACTCAAATAGGATTACATGCATGGTAGTCTGAAATATTTCTGTGTCCGAGTTTAAGGGATTATCTTTCGATTGAGCGAAACACTCAATGAATTTTTGCAAAACTTTTCATTCGAGATTTCTACAGTTTGCAATTTACGATCGCTATAAGATAAAATGGGAGGAAGCTGTGACACGATCTTCGACGTATAGCAGTAGTCGGTGTAAATTTTAGTGCTCAAGGCTTGTAGGCTCGATAGTAATAACGCAAAATTCAGCTTTCTTTTGTCCATGATACATGTTTCAGTACTAATCGATAGATCATTGTGTAATAATTGTATGTTAAATGTAAGGCAGGATCGGGACAGAGTGTAGTAATTCCGAAACGATTGTTATCGTCGATATGTGACTAATGCGAATCGAGTAATTATGGTTGTTATTCGATCATCTTCGATTTCGCGGGAATGTATTTACGTGTTTGTCTAGACAATAATGAGTAAACGGATGACAATAAAGCGATAATAATAAACGATAAAATAAACACCTTATTTGTCATATTATCATATTCAACGTTGTCTTTTTTTTATACTTTCCAATAAATGAACGCAGAAGAATAATTTTCACGAAATTTCTTAAAATCTTTTATTCCTTTTTTTTTTTAAATAATGTTCCAGTAATTCAACCGAATAAAACTGATTTCTGAATTGAGACTATAACAAACAGATTACCACAAAATTGTGCTGGTGATTTGAGGTTAAGCGAAACACTTTGAATAATTCTTGTAAATAAATCTTGCAAATTTTAATGGTTTCTATGATTACTGATATATCTGAACTTGGTGAAACTCACCTTAACGTCGTGTAACTCGTTATCTAAGTTAACAATTTTCATTTCCAAGATTCTTTTTCAGGAACAATGGTAAAGGGTGTGTGTAGAAGAAAGCGTGCGATGAGAATCGATAATATGTACATTAGTTTATTTACAAAAATAGACGATTTACTGATAAAAATCTTTGATACAAAATATTACTTTCCTATTGCGTTCGTTCTCTTTCATTACCTAATCAACGAGTAATTGCATCCTTCCATTTAGGAATTTTCAACACCTTCTACACGATACTTTCTTGCCAATTCAAACGAATGAAAGTTCTATCACGAGTAATTACAAAAACGACATAGAAATTAAATATAAGATATTGATCCCTTAAATAAAATAATGAATAATTTAATAAATAATGTCCTTCTACATATATCCTACATATTATTCGTTCATCTTTGCACATTACCGACTAAAAATTTGGAATGGAGGAACGATAAAAAAAAGAATGGCAAATCGAAGGATTCTGCGAGAAACGAATTGATCAAGCACAATGAAATACCGATCAACACCCTAACTGACTTTTACTAATGCCTATACAATCATCGTCCGTTAAAATATGCCGCCCACGCTTCGATGATAGTTCAGCTGAGCGTGTTGGGAATAATCGTAGCTTTGATCGTACCATTCCGCCACCGATGCAGAATTCCCGGTACCAGAAGACGGTGTACCACCATGACTCGTGTGCGATGAATGCTGATGACTCGAATGACTTGACGTGTATTCACCTTGGAAATGATTGAACTGTCCCCAGCCTAACTGCGCTCTGGACCAATCAGTGTTTCCTGAAATTGGGTCATCGTCGTTGTTCATTATAACCGCCTCGACAGTGATTAGCGCGCGAGTTTCAAGCTTGTACTTTCAATTTGATTCTTGTTGTAGTGGTAGAAGTACATAGGAATGATTCTGGAGAGGGGCACAGTGTTCATCGTAGGAAATATCAAAGAAAATTATTTCTTGGTATTATCAGTGTTCTTGGTACAATTGGAGATTATTAATTCACATATGTTTATCCCTAAATAATTCACTAAACTTCTTTTACCATGAAACTTGCTAAGTCCAGCAGAATGGACTTGAAAATCCTCAAACAAACATCTACCAAACTTTGCTTTTAAATCAATCACAGAAAATTGCTTAAAATAATGAAAACAATATTAAGACAAAGTTCCACTGGAAGGAACAAAGCTCCTATAAACAATGATTCACCTGGATTA